GAAGTGTTCTTTCTTCTGCCATTTTGGAAATTATCTATAGTCCATTTGGCTTTTTAAGGAATGTGTAACTGTCTCTGCTCCTTTTATAATAATGATTGCAGATAATGGTATTTCTTAAACTTCTGACTGAGCGCCTCACTACTGGATTTGGCTTCCAATAATAGAGTGTTTAAGAAGTGTTTTGAAACACATATTTAACAAGGTCCATGAAGCTTAGAGGCAGCATCAGTGGTTGCTATGAAGTACAGTATATTGGATCACAGCTCTGTCCTGGGCAAATCGCTGACTGAAAAAACACGCCAGGGCATCTAATTTTGCCCACCCAAGAGTTGAAGACCTAGAAAATGAGCAAAGTAGGACTGGAGGGGATAGAGGAATGTGATCCAAGGCTCCCCTAGATGATGACCAACTAAGAGATCAGGGTTGTGAGCATAAAATTTTGCCATTTTCTCAATGGCAAAATTTCACAAAAACAGGGTGAATATATTTCACATAAGCAAATCTGTATTTCACCTGTGAGAAATTTAGTAAGGGAAAACTGAGTATATGTCAAAGTTCTCCCTGTTCTCAGTCTGTTGTAATAAAATTATGTTACTGGGCTCTTTCTTTATATATGCTTACATATTTGTCAGTTGTAATTGGTGGTTTTAAATTTGTAAGTACTTATTAATTAGATCAGTTTATAGTGCTTGTTACAGTAGAAGCTAGTAACTTGTGAAAGTGGGAGGTAAAACTGACGCCTAAAGACACAAAACTGATACATACAGTCATTCAACCTTGAAATCCTACTCTGCAGTTATAAAGGAGTGTCTTTCTAACAGGATGTCATTGTGGTAGGCAATTGGGTTCACTTTGTAGGGCAGGAACTCCCCTGCAGAATAGATAAGAGTTTTCAAGTTCCAGGACTGAACAATCAAAGTTAATTAATTGGACAGGTATAGATCATACTATGTCTTATTCAAAATAATATACCCTGTCCTCACATTAGGCTTTTATGATTTACGGGGCACAAATAGTAACTAGTTTGTATCTCAGTTATGTAATAAGTATTGAAGTTCCACTTCTTCCTGCATGCCTATCGTGCTGTTTTTGTTACAGAACTCCCTCAGGCCTCACTTATCAGTCTGCACATAATTCTGTTAGAGTTCATCTTTCAATGGTATAGGCTGCTTACCCTTCTTTTCTCAGGAAGATCCTTTAGGGACGATCCAGAGTTTATATACTGTCTGATATATACCCCCAAACTGATCTGAAATGCAGTACTTCCAACATGCTAATGCAACTGAAGTGTTAAATGTAAGCAATTTTATTTGTTTAGTCATATTCTTAATGATTTGAGGTACATATTCTTAATGATCTGAGGTACAAACAAATTCTTAATGATCTGACCCTCATGATGTGTGGTAGGAGACACTGTGCAAGCACAGTATAGTTTATTGTTTGAAAGTCTTTCCTAAGGTTTTCTACAATTAATTTATATTTGCTGTAATATATTTTTACTTGCCATTTCTTTGATAATATTTGCTTGTGCTCAGTAGCTAATACACAGCTTTTACTTAGTTGAATTATTTCTAGAGTTGGGTGAATAGTTAAAACATAAGAATGGTCATACTGGGTCAGACCAATGATCCATCTAGTTCAGTATCCTGTCTTTGACAGTGGCCAGTGCAAGATGCTTTAGAGAGAATAAACAGAACAGGGCAATTTTGAGTGATCCATCTGCTGTCATCCAGTCCCAGCTTTTGGAGGCTTAGGGACACCTGGAGCATGGGCTTGCATCCATGACCATATTAGCTAATAGCCATTAATGGACTTATTCTCCATTATCTTATCTAATTATTTTTTGAACCCAGTTATACTTTTGGCCTTCACACTATCCCCAGCAATGAATTCCACAGGTTGACTTGCGTAGTGTGAAGAAGTACTTCCCTTTGTTTTAAACCTGCTGCCTATTAATTTCATTGGGTGCCCCGGGCTCTTCTGTTATGTGAAGGAGTAAATGATACTTCCTTATTCACTTTTTCCATACCATTCATGATTATATAGACCTCTATCATTAGGGCTCAGTGTCTGTCATGGCAGTCGTGGAAGTCAGAGTTTCCGTGACTTCTTGAGACCTCCGTGACTTCTGCAGTGGCCGGTGTGGCTGACCGCAGGGCCTCCCAAGTAGCCGACCTTGGGGCCAGTGGCTCAGGCAGACCTGGAGACAGCTACACCGGCTGCTGCTGGAGCGGCTCTGCAGCCAGCCACTTGGGTAGCCCCACAGTCAGCTGCACCAGCCGCTGCTCTGGTGGCCCCAGGCAGCTGGCCCCAGGGACTGCCCGAGCAGCGGCCAATACAGCTGGCCCTGGGGACCAGCTCTGTACTCCCATTGGCCAGGAACAGCGGCCAATGGGAGCTGCGGGGGCGGTGCCTACAAGCGAGACCAGCATGCGGAGCCTCCTGGCCCCACCCCACCTAGGTAACGGAACTTCTGGCTGCTTCCAGGGTGCAGCACGGAGCCAGGACAGGCAGGGAGCCTGCCTTAGCCCTGCTGTGCCGCTGACTGGGAGCCGCCCGAGGTAAGCCCATGCCCCAACCCCCCGCCCCAACCTTAAGCCCCCCCACACCCAGAGCCACCTCATGTACCCCAAACCCCTCATCCCCGACCCCACCCCAGAACCCGCACCCCTGCTTCGGCAGTTCGGGCGGCTTTTTTTTGCTTGGGGCAGCAAAAATGGTAGAGACGGCCCCGCCTCCTGCACTCCAAATCCTTCGGTCCCACCCCCCAGCCTGGAGCCCCCTCCTGCACTCCAAACCCCTTGTCCCCAGCCCCACCCCAGTGCCCACACTCCC